GATTGATCTAAGTTGGTTGTAAGAGAAGTAGAACACAGCGAATGTAAAGGATAATTTTCTCTATATCCGAATCAAATAAATAGTAACTCGTTAACTGAGTATTTAATGCAGGCTAAATTTCCCAGTAGAATTATGAGTTTACTCGAGATTATACAAAAGCCTAAACACCAGTTATACAGATAGTTTATTGTTAAAAAATAGTAAAATCTGCAAGCGTACAAGGAGCAAGCACACAGGAAAACCACATGAGTATGCGCTTTTGCTAAAAATCCATATATATTTATGTGTGTTAATGGATCGTGGATAAATTATTGATCTTCTGTGTGTTACAACCAATGGGAGAATAGATTAAAGATTGATGTGCAGACGTACGCTCAATCAGACTCGCGCATACATTTACATAGTGGATTAAGTGCTTAAATTACAGTGAGCAGACAAAATACAATAGTTGAATGGGCTTAATACACGTAGTCACTCGTGATCTGGTGCGGAAGCATGATCGAGCGCCTTCAGCTATATGAGTTCATTAAAACTAATGCGGTCAAAATCATATGTCGATGACTTACAGATATATTGATTCTGGGGATTTGTTTACCGCTACAGTGCATTCAGTGTTCTCAGTTGACGGAAAAGTAGTACCTAGACACTTTATTAAAAAGGCTTGGTTTACACCGAGGAATTCAAGAGATTATCGAACACTGTCCGGTAAAGACATTCGTGCACTTATTAAAAGAAAGGGAATATGGTATACTTACGTCATTGGATAATGACGAGACGAAATAGCTTGATCTGGGTATTTTATTACCTTAATTACAAACTTCGGATACTTAAGAATAATTATTACTTAAAAGGAAAAGAGAGAGTAAGAGAGAGGAAATGAGCAAAACCTCAGGATAGCTCTCTGGAAATGAATCCAATCACGATTTCATATGCTTGCTCTGGAACCTTGGTAGAGCTAAGTCACTTACATACTACCACCAACCCAAATGTTGTTCTTTTAAAGGGTGTTTGTCACTGATCGGTAGCCTTTATACTGTATAGACATGATTAATCTAAACATATCAACTATCGTCATAGGTGAATATATCGATATTTGCCACAAAATATTTGAAAGGTCACGTTCTATCTACATTCTTCATCTTTGTCGACGATCCTTTACTCGATTTTGAATTCTAGTACCCCTTCACATTAGTAATGAATGGCATCCGGCTAATGCAGTACCATTCTAACTCCGCCTGAATAATGGCGTGGTATTATACAAACAAATATAATGAAAATAACGATTTATAATAATAAGCAAGATTACGTGATAAGAAAAATGTAATATGAGATACATCATATTATTTAGTAAGTGACTGCAATAATTTTTGTGTTTTGAACATGGCACTTCATGAATCGCCGAATTTCGCATATAAAATGATGACATACAGGTAAAGTCTATGGTGTTAATGATTGAACTTTTTATTAACTGACTTGCTGGGCTATCATGATTTTACGGATGTTAGTAATTAGAGATTTAGTTCCAGATGGTTTGATATATGGTAAAATACTTTTATTCTTCTTTTAGGTCTTGTTTCTAACCATCACACTCATTTTATGTATATTGATTGATACTATTTATTATTATTTAGTAACCAGTATCATTTCAAGCATTTAAGAAGGTGTGATGTAACGGACATAAATTTTAATTGATATCATGGATCGATCAACATTAGACCACTAATGAAAACTAGCGTAATGTATGTCCTATCCATTTCCATTGTATATTCCCAACATCGAAGCAGCACCCACCGACCTCCCAATCAATGTTGGCCCACCAACAATTGAAGAAATCAGCATGACGATCAGACAAATCAAGAGTGGCAAAGCAGCAGGACCGGACAACATCCCAGCAGAGGCACTAAAAGCAGATGAAGCGGCAACTGCAAGGATACTCCACATTCTCTTCAATAAAATTTGGGATGAGGAACAAGTACCAAGAGACTGGAAAGAAGGACACCTGATCAAAATACCAAAGAAAGGCGATCTCACCAACTGTGATAACTACAGGGGCATCACTCTTCTCTCAATACCGGGAAAAGTCTTCAGCAGGATATTGTTAAACAGGATGAAGGACTCCCTAGACGCCCAACTTCGTGACCAACAGGCAGGATTCCGTAAGGATAGATCGTGTACAGACCGAATCGCAACTCTACGGATCATTGTGGAACAGTCAATTGGATGGATCTCATCACTCTACATCAACTTCGTTGACTCCGAGAAGGCATTTGACAGCATGGACAGGACAACACTATGGAAGCTTCTCCGACACTGTGGTGTGCCTCAGAAGATAGTCAATATCATACGGAATTCCTATGATGGATTAAAATGCAAAATCGTGCATGGAGGACAGCTGACAGATTCGTTCGAAGTAAAGACTGGTGTCAGGCAAGGTTGCTTACACTCACCATTTCTATTTCAGAATCTGTGGAGAAGCGTGTGATACAATGGACAGGTAGGGTGCAGTTGGACGATCTAGACTTCACAGATGATCTGGCAATTCGATCGCACACGCAACAACAAATGCAGGAGATCACGACCAGTGTAGCAGCAGCCTCAGCAGCACTAGGTCTCAATATACACAAAGGGAAAAGCAAGATTCTCCGATACAACACAGCATGAAACAATCCAATCACACTTGACAGAAATGCTATGGAGGATGTAAAAACCTTTACATATGTGGGCAACACCATTGATGAACAGGGTGGATCTCATGCAGATGTGAAGGCGCGGATCGGAAAAGCAAGAGCAGTATATTTACAACTGAGGAACATCTGGAACTCAAAGCAACTGTCAACCAACACCAAGGTCAGAAATTTCAATACAAATGTCAAGACACTTCTACTGTCTACTGTGGCGGAAACCTGGAGAACTACAAAAACTCTCATCCATAAAATACAAGTGTTTATTAACAGCTGTCTACGCAAATATTTCGGATCCGTTGGCCAGACACTATTAGCAACAACGTATTGTGGGAGAGAACAAACTAGATCCCAGTGGAGGAAGAAATCAGGGAGAAGCGCTGAAAGTGGATAGGACACACATTGAGGAAAGCACCGAACTGCGTCACAAGACAAGCCCTCACATGGAATCCTCAAGGCCGATGAGGAAGAGGGAGACCAAAGAACACATTACGGCGAGGAATGGAGACAGACATGAGAAGAATGAACAAGAATGGAATAGAAGTGGAAAGGAAGGCTGAGGACAGAGTGGGTTGGAGAATGCTGGTCGTCTGTCTATGCTCCATTGGGAGTAACAGGCGTAAGTGAGTAAGCAATATATATATATATATATATACCGCCAAAAGAACTGTTTTGAAGATAAATCTTTTTCGAACCTCGATTTTACATGCAACTCAGTTGTGTTGTTAGACAATTTGGTGGACTTTACAAAGGCAAAATATTATCCTAATATTGTGCAGAGGAATTCCTTTAACTGCTTCTAAAAAATAGTTGTTTTTCTAAAAGATGTAGCTCATATACGGTCATTTTATACTTCAAAACTATACTCTACACTTTCAGAAACAGTAGCACAGAGCATCTTAGAATACCAAAAACATTTCAGATCTTATTTGAAGACTGACCTAAAGAAATCGAGAGAAAATTAAACCATATCAAAAACATAGTACTTTTTGAATACCTGAGTCCAGATGAAGTCAAATCAAATTCATGCAATTATCTTCGTTACATACAAGTAAAAAAGGAAGGATTATTTCTGACATTTTCAGGTTACAGTTATATCAGTATTTGTTGTGGAGATTGTTAAGTTTTTTTCTATTGTTGAAGTATTTGATTTATTTCTTGATGCAGATTATGGATTTAATTCAAATAAAACTGAACTGAAACACTTGAATGCGTTATTATGTAAAAAAATAAAATGAGCTGTAGAAATATGACGCTAGAATTTGTTCTAATAGATTGGCTAATAAAGTATCACCAAGGATAAGATGCACCTAGTACACCGAAAAAGTATGTAACAGTATCAAAAATCATTACATGTGACGTTACTAACGTGAGTCTGTTTTTTTATTGCAGGGCAGCAAAGAGTAAATGTACTGGTAGAAGAGGAACAAACCGTACGTAAGCCGAATCTGCAGAACGGTGGCTAAAACCATTTTATAATAAGTTTCCCTTTTTGTACAGAACCGCGTCTTTTAATTTTTAAAAAAATTATCTGTTGTGCCAGTACGTCGCGTTCTTACTTCAGAGGTATTTACCAGTCCAGACTGTTGTGTTGTTGTTTCAGATCACTCCTGCTTCCAAGTAAACGCTAATACTACGTGCTACTGGTATGCGTGTTGTTTGACTCATGGTTAGGTAAATGAACCTATACCTGTCCAATTAGCTACATTATTGCCGTTCTAAAAGCCCAAACTGAAATCAAAACCTATCGATTAAGGGACGCGACATAATCATTTAGCTAAACAACACGACATGTTACGCTTTAGTTTTAAAGCTAGTTGTTTAAGATAAATATTAAGAAAAATATGAACCCAAGTTTTGTGTTTGCTATTTCTTTCAGTAGTTCCGACCGCCAATAACAAGTAAATGGGATAAGTAGCTCAGTGGACTACGCGTTCGGCGTTTGAATCTAACAGTGCTGGATTCGAGTTTCACAGTTAATATTAACAAGGATGCTTGTATACCCAAGTGGAGAGTCGCAGTTAAGACGGAACGCGCGTACTGGATTCCGCAGCTAGCCAAAATCTATTTCTCCCGTAAAAACTTGAGAAAAGTGGATATATCAAAGCGATTTTCTCAGAAGGAACACATGCTAATCAAGAATAATCAAAAATTCAGTAAACAATATCAATGATTGAATAATCTAAACCTGTTTTAATAATTATAAGTCGATGGATGCTTTGTCAGACTTTAGGACGCACATAACTAAGTGATGCTGTTACACACTTTGTCTCTTTACTATTTTGAATTCTGCATAAGCTTCCTGATATATAAAACTTATTATTCAGTGAACAACTGTATCATGAAGCTAATAACAAATACATATTTTTTATTGGCACCAAAAGGAACAGCTTTAAAGTGAATACGATAAAAATGGAGTTCCAACAAATTATTCAACTTCGATGACACACAAATATGAACATCTATCCCAGGTAAAAATAATCTTGTGTCATCTAAAGATTTTCATTAATTTTATTTAGAAAGGCAGTACTCTATCATAAAAAAGGATATGAAAAGTTTGATATACATGTACGTAATTATTTACAAACAGTTTTTCTTGATGTAGAACGAAATGATTGTGCAATAAATACTTGAAGAAATATGATATGCATGTGTTTATTAAGCATTTGTTATGAAAGTTTTCGATTACTGCTTATTTGATATTTACGTGTTGATTCAGCATTTGTTGAATGCTCTAACGAACCAGGTTCATCAAAACTCTCTACTTGTTGACGTGTTAGCACTAAATTTACAATATCACCTGCATTACGAAGTATTCGAACAGCTTCTTCATGAGTAGCATGACTTAGGTCAATTTCATTCACCTACAAAAATAAATCATTTGAAGGGGAAAAATAAAAATGAATGCAGATTATTCATTAAACAGAACACCTAACATGAAAATATTGGTTATGGTAAAAATCTAGATAGTCAAATTAAGCCATTTCTAACAGATTGATCAATACAAATTATTACTGCCACGACGTAAATGCATCATTTTTTCTCTCACTTAATCATAGGTATCTAGGAATTTCCGTTCAAATGTTTTATTAAAGACGATAGTATGAAAACTGGTGAGTATAACTTATATTTCAAATGTATTGTAAACTAGACTATACTGTAATGCTATAAAGATAGTAGCTTAATAAATGAAGAAGAATTTCAGCTACTTTTTTTTTATTCCGCTTAAAGTAAATGGAATATATACAGTCTTGTCTACACTCAGAGATTATATACCTGTCCAGTTCATAAAATAATTGCTAATATTGTAATTTATAGTGAATAAAGTAGTTTGTAATAGGCAAAAGTAGTAGGTAAGTTTCTACCGATGAAAAACTGAACAAATTAAAATGTAGTGGTTCTCTTTATAAATAATAAAAGTATATTAAATAGATTTTAAGAAATATAACACAAATATTGTTATATCCGAGCGAAGATTAGATCACGAGTAAGTCCTGAGACCTATTAATGGACTAATATTATCGATATACTCTTATGGTATAACTATTCAGTAATTAGATTGTGTATATTTATATTCATCTTATTATAAGCTTCATTTTGACCTATAATTTATTATTATACAATTTACTGTTCCTAAATTATGTTCAGTTTACTAACTACCGTCTCCCACGTTCACAACCACTTTTTGGCTTATTTGTGTATGAATGTTAATCCCTATTTTATGGTGTGTTGCGGTCTGTTTGGTTGATAATATAAACCTAGTATGTCTGAAATAAATGATTCGCATAATGGAGGCTATTATTAGCATTCTGGACTCAGCTAGACGGGCTAGGTGGACAAGGGACCAATAAAGACGCTAGGCTGCTCATACCGGTCAAACGTCATTGGTTTAGCACAATGTGAAGACTGTACAGTCGTATTTCGATTAGTGGATAAATCACGTGATAACTTGCAGAACATAAAGTCATAACAACTATATTTTCTAATCATAATTATAAATTCAATGATAAAATTTATATTTTCTGTTATTATTTTTAAATCATGCAGCAATCTAAATTGAAACTATTAAAAAACGAAGCAAAAAGTAAATCATAGTATAGACTTACTTGCATTAACTGATCACCAGGCATGATACGACCATCTAAATCGGCTAACCCACCTGGACTAATACGTGTAATAAATATTCCAGTTGAAGGGAAGTTATTATTTTCAACATCTTGACCACCAGCAATACTGAATCCGAGGCCATAATTTGAATGTGGTTTACGGAGTTGGACCTAAAATTGAGAAATATATAGTTGGTTTATGGTTATGATTGTTTAATCATATTAAAAATGAAGTACTTCTAAAAACAGAGTTTTCTAAATGACTACGTTGATAAACTACCATAGAAATAATCCAGACAGAATAGACAAAGTGAATCTTTTTTCAGAGCTATCTTAATAAAGTAATAACATTTGTTCGGTTTATAAAAAAATTTCAACACTATTTTTCTGTAAATAACTGTAGATAGCAAAGTGGAAGTTAAATTGTTGTCGAAGATAATAAGCAATTAACTCGAAGACAGATAATTACTGATGAGGAATTACATACTAGGACGAAACGGCCGTGCAGTGCTTCCAGGTTTTCAAGGGTGGTCCAGCTAACTGTGAAAATACGACAATCTGCACAAATCCCCATACAAATAATTAATATTTGATCGGTATCATGGAAAAACACAATAAAATGTATTAACATTCCTGAATATTGTTTTACGTTGAATTATCTAACAATTTTACGAATTTTGATTCTTTTTTTCACCACAAGTCTGTTTAAGTCAAAGTTACAAAGTATTTAATAGGGATTTCTGAACTTTTTGATGGACATCAAATACACCGAGTGAATCAGACAGGACTGGTCAAGTCACATGACGTAATTTTCATTAGCTTGAGTCAAATATTTGATCATACAAATCTTGAGTATTCATTGCGTGAAAATATCAAGCTTATGTCTTAAAAACTATTATTGGATGAATTTTGTGATCATTTTAGTCCATTTGTATTATAATATAATTGCCACTTTTTACACCATGACAATTAAAATTTTATACTAATGCAAAAGTCTTTCGTCTTTCATACACAACTGTGTTAGTCTAATTTCAGATGTCTGTTGGAATATTTTTTCCGCTTCATATATTCTTGATTTTATTATATCATAATATGGCTATTTTAATAAAAGTGCCCAGGACAGAGTGGGTTGGAGAATGCTGGTCGGCGGCCTATGCTCCATTAGGAGTAGCAGGCGTAAGTAAGTAAGCTTTTTTTCTAAATAAAATTTTTGAGTGAGTATGTTGTTTTTCAGACTGAATATTCATCAAAATAATCCTTCAAACACTGGGAAGCTGAGTTACAGCGATTATACAAATAAGAATTGTTTTAGCACAGCTTACCTTTGGTGTATGAGTTCACTAAAAAAAGTGTATAAACTGTCTTATTAACTGATAATATTTTTTTACAAATAACAATCTTTTCAAAGCTTTCCAACTTCAATTCCCGTTTATTAGGGTTTAACTTACGAAGATAAAAACCTTTCCAACAAAATTTATACTAAATTTTCAACTGATTGGGTTAAGTGACTTCCTTTTCCGTACTGAGTTAGAACTAAGTAATGCATTAGCCAACCAAAAGTAAAGACAATAAAACAATAGAATATCAATTCATATAGATATGTGTTTATGAGAAACTTACTTCGTACCATATTGGAGTTGAACCACTGTCTTCTAAATCAGACATAACTTCTGGTGATCGAAAGGATGGAGAATGTTGTACAACTGTTCTATCCGGTGTTGTTACTCCAGTATTACCAACAAATCGTCTTACAACCTTGACATAAAATTTTAGAAAAATTTTACTACTTAGTAATGAAAATTCTAAAAGAATAATTTCGGTAATGTTGGTATACTTAGACTATTTTTAAGAAAAGATCACATGGTTACAATCATTCTGTTGGTTAAACAATTCAAAACGAAAAGGTTTTCGATGATACAAAACCCTGACAAAAAGACCCATTTAATTGCAAAGTTGAAACTGTCATTTGTATACACAATAATCAGCTAAGGCAGTATGAATTATCAGGTGAAAAAATGTTTAATGAGAAGTGGAAAACACAAAATCACAAGTGATCATTCATTTCTGTGTATTACATCAGTCAATCAGTCGTAACGTAGAACCTAGCACGTGTGTACATCGGTTCAAGTTGCAACATTTTATCAACACAGAGAGAAATTGCGTTAATTCGTCAACCCCGACCACAACGTTTTCACCTACTTGCAAGGCTGAGTCCAAAAGAGAGTAATTCTATGGACTAGTGAGTTTATTTTGGCCGCTACTAACAGATATTTTTCAACTAAATTCTATAACTTTTATCCAGGTACGTGGTAATCAGGCATACGTAATGAACGTCATAACAATTTCAGTCAATCCAGATTGACTATGTCATCGATCGATTTTCCTTCTTTACTCAGTCTCCATTTTCGAACCCAAACACTTCCTGATCGTTGGTCCCAAAATACACGAGCAATGCATAGTGCATCGTTAAACAGTATCTAAACCCTTTTCTTGACAGACGGATATTAAATATACGCCACAAGTGACACGAGTCAGCAAACACCAATCGGGCTATCTGAACTGGTGACGAGATTTCATCAGACCCAGATCTACAAGGTCTAATGAGACTCCTAAGATAAGTGAGGCGGTCGGCAAACACGATTGCTTCGCTTTCTATTACAAATTCAGGAGCTGACTCAATCCAATACTGAAACAACATTTTGCATTTGAAGGGAGAGAACCACATCTCAGTCATGCTTGAATTGTTTCTCAAGGTGGTCAGATGACTTAATTTTGTTAACACCTTCACCAAACAGAATTATGTCATCTAGGTATTCTAAGTTAACAAGTGAACCTTCTGGCAGAAGATCAAACTCTGAAGAGTCAAACGACGAGAATTTTACCTCTAAAGGGATGTCTATGAAAAGCTTTAACAAAAATGGAGAAAGAGGACAACCCTGACGAACACCACTTGAAGTAACCGATTCCGATGACAATTTGCCATTAGTTCTGATTCGACCAGCAGTGTTCCAGTAGAGAGCCTGTACAAGTTTAATATACTTATTCGGTACGCCTTTCAACAACAGACATTGCCGCAGAACCTTACAATCAACGGAGTCGAACAACGCCTTAGAGTTAAGGAATACAATCTGTTATAGCCCAAAGCCGCCAATCAGAAGCAGTGAATTATCGGTCGGACCAAGGACGCATAAAACAGGTGCGAGCAGCCTAGAGTTCTGATTGGTCCTGCTTTTCGCCTAGCTCAGCCAGTTAAGTCCAGAACACCAGTCTCAGCCTCTGCAATATGAATCATTATATTTCGAACATACTGAGTTTATATACCAATCAAACAGTCCACAACGTACCAATAAAATATGAAACAACATTTGTACAAGAATTAGCCAGATGTGTCTATGAATGAGGGAGGCAGCGACTAATAGACAGGGGATAATTCAAGAATGGAAAATCGTATAATAACAGTTTATAGGTTAAAATAAAGCTTATGATAAGATAGACATGAATACGAATAGTTTAGTTAATTAACAATTATACGATAAAAATATACGTGTAGTATTGGTTTACAAATGTATCCCGAAAATTACCACTCATTATTCTTATTTTGGCATAACATAATCATAGTTCGGACGTTGTAAAGTAGCTCTATGTTCCAAAATCTACCGAAGGGTGAATATTTTGTATATAGATCCACGTCCATGTCTAAAACAAGCATAGTTTACTCAGGTTTGCTCTTCACGAGCTCTAGTTAGACATCGAATTATTAGACTAACATTTTAGATACTATGTTGGCAAAACTGATATCTCCGTGATTATCGTGAGAGGATCTCTGTCCTTTCTTATACACTTGTACGAAGTGATCGAGACCAGTCAGATGGGATTACGTTCAGTTCCCAGATTTTAACTAAGGTTTCAATTAATCTAGCTACCAAAAATGGGTTGCCATCCTTTAAATTCTCAAGGGTTAGTCCATTAAGCCCTGCTGCTCTCCATCGATTTAGATCACTTACAGCCTTTTCGACCTCGCTAATAGTTGTAGGACTGACATCAGTTTGCCATTTAAGTGGCTTGGAGATCGTGAGTAGCTGAAGGCCAGTTGCATTGTCCTTTAAAGTGTTCGGCCCATCAGTTCAGTCTCCTGGATTCAAACTGAATAATAGTGCCACCTTTTTCCAAGTTAGCTTCACTGACAGCCAAGTTGTTAATACCCGTTTCCTTGATAATTCTGAACAGACGTTTATCGAAACCTATCTCATGTGTCTTTTCTTCCGCTTCTGCAATCGCTACACACCACTCCCAACGATCATTACGTAGGCTTTTGATCAACATACATTTAGGCCGCCTCCTCTCCTCACCGTGTTCTGAGCCATACAGGATTAATTTCTGAGTTTTTATCAGTTATGTAGATTTCACTGAAATACACTGTTTTCCTAATCTTCTTTTGCTAGTTACTAGTAGATATAATTTTTGTTTCCACAGCTTCTTGGGTAACATACCAAGCTACTTCGGGGTGAATATCCTTTCCACAGTTGACTAGCTCTTTCTTTAGTTGTTTCTGAAACATTTTCTTAACTTTTTCATGATTAAGTTGAACTATAAGAGGTTTTCTTGATGTGGCTTTTCTACATTCAATAAGGTGCAGACGAATACGTGTTTGAACCAGAGCATGATCCAAGTCCAATAATGTGTTTCAGAATGATCGACAGTATCCTATGGAGATTTAAATTGATGGCTCTGGCAATGAAGTCTATTTGAGTTCACCGTTGAGTTGATTGTGAAGTTCGCTATGTCAGAAGGTATTTCTCTTTATGTTTAGAGTTTGCGTTGCTCAGAAATAGACGCTGGCATGGGCATAGTTGTAACAGACGGCTGTCATTATCTGTTTGCTAAACCGCAACATCGTAGGATCTGCCTAATTGTCTTTCGGTTCGGCCTAGTATGCCTACTGGAGCACTGAAGTTACCCGCCACTATTGCTACATCGGAGTGTCTAGTTTTTTTAAAAGGTTGGAAATCTTTCTATAAAATTGGTTTTTTTAATTCATCCAAGCTGAAACCAGTGGGAACGTAGGCAGAGACGACAGCGTATGTTCCTATCTTTTTGAGTTCTTACCGCTTCATTTTGTCGGACAGTTCACAATCAACTGTCTATTTAATCCAGTCAAGCAGTGTCAGCTCTGCTTTTGAACTTTGTGCTACACTTACACCAATGAAGTCACGGGTAGTAAAAGTGTGGTTTCCGCGCCTTTACGATATTCATGTATTCTTTTACATAAGTATGACACTTTCAAATAATACACTTACCCCTCATGTGGGATATCATTAAACGCATGGCCATTTTTGTATTTTTTAGATAAATTTTTTCATCCCTTTTGAAAAATTTTTCATCCCATTTTACAATATTTTTCATCCCGTTTCGTCCAATTAAATGGCTAGTTTTAAGTTCGAACAACACATATAAGCGAACAATTGTTTTCAATTAGATCGTCATCAGGCTTTACTCTAATATACATGAATATTTATACTATCAACTTGTACTTTTACCTATTATGTGTAGTGACTTATTCTATTTCATTGTGATTATTGACTCATATTGCCTTGATTGGTTTAAACCTTTCGTATAAATATTCATGTATATTAGAGTAAAGCCTGATGACGATCTAATTGAAAACAATTGTTCGCTTATATGTGTTGTTCTAATTTTCACAATGGGAAGTTTTAAGTTCGTCATAATTGGTCATTTATTTCACGAAATTGATATAAAATATCAGAACTCGACGACAGAGCACTTTTTCTTCAAATTATGGACGATAGTAACGTACAAAGTAGAGCTCTGTCGTTTCTCACGTTGTCACATAAACGGATAACGTATTCTCCAATACGTTGTATCTCGTAGCGTTCCAATCACTTGAAGCGTTAAAGAGCGCCATTCGAACTTACGAAAGAGCTACGTACTGCCATCATGAGGTGAGACATTCTCATTTCTATAGCGATCAGAAGCTATATATTAAATTTATGTCACCCTTTTCAATGCAAAACTAAACAACTCTTTCGTATTAAGAATTACTACTTCAGAAATAACCCAATCACAAATATTATTTCCTTGTTTCTGGGAAATTATTACTATTTTGAGATAGCGTAAAAGTTGCTTCATTTACCGACACTTTATGGTTAGAGAGATTTATACATGGCCTATTCATTATTTTATAATGATAATTTATTCATATGTTTACACACTCATATACGCTATTTTCTAGGTCAGTGAGTGTACAAAATATACCCGTTCAGAAATCCATTTTCGTATTTGACTTATTCAATTCCGTTATTGACTAACGCGATTGAAGTCGATGATCATATACGAGGATTGACGATATGTATATCTCAATAGCAATCAGAAACGATCTCACAGGAGTCAGATCCCGGGCCACTAAACAGTTGTTCTTTTCAGGCTCCTCATATCATGGAAGGGTATTTCTCTAGAGACCTAAAGAGGGAACTGCACTATTGGTAGTTTTAGTGACCTGGGAGCGTGATTGCAGAGCTCAGAGGGAAACTGCCTGAGGCCTATCACTTACGACCATTTTATGGGAAGTATTTGATTTGTTAATGCCGTACGTCAAAAGGCCTTATGGTCGGAGACTGAAGTCTATGGGGTAAGGTGAAGTGTGGCGATTTAGGGATGATATTTTCTAACCCTATTCTTCCTTTGTGAGAAGGCAGCAAGAATGGTTGTCAGAGGAATACACCATAATTTCGTCACACTCCCCTACAGTCAGCAGTACGACTTTGCCCTCAGACATTAAGTTGCTACTTTTAGTCTCATCGTTCTCCAATCGACTGCCTGGCAAGGTAAAACCTAAACAAACATGTGCTTCAACCAATATACCTCGGCTGAACCACTACAATAGGCAAACCCGACCAACACGTCAAGGTAGCAGCTACAGCCGAGGATCAATCCGATACCCTTAATAACCTTATGAATTGGTGTGGGGTAAGTGGAGAGTGAATTGCAAACAATTTTAAAAATAGATCATTGAAAATGAACAAATACAGACCAAAAAATTATTTTCACCGGATAAAACTGATGGAAGAACTAGCACATCTAATAAAGCTAGAACTAGCTGGTCACTTATTGATTAAAGAGATCCAGTATTTCGTGGATTTAAGAAATATACTATCTAAAAGCATAGAAAAAACGCCTTAGGTGGAACATATTAGAACCTGTATAAATTAAACGTTTTTCATCTTATATATTTGTACCTGTTTTTCCTTTTATTTTTAATACAATTGAAAATATAGTTAGAAAATGTTAGACTTAATCAAGGAAAACTTACTAAATGTAGTTGATTACCAGCTTGTCTTAGTGTTTTCACTGCTTCCATATTTGTAACATGCTCTAAACTGATGTCATTGACACTAAGGATTTGATCATCAACCCTTTAAAAAAGAACCAGTGCGTGAAAAATGACTCAAGGTTTATTTTAAGGTTTAGTATTAGTCAAGTAAAAGTACCCTACATGATCACGACAAATTATTAAATCTGTAAATTGCTGTTTGAGTTCACTGTTTATTCATCCGCCTTTTTGTACCACACTATACTACGTATACTTCATCAGTAGGTCGAGTATATTTATTTATATACATATTCATTTGTCGTTACACAATATTAATCCTAGCCATTTTTGCTTTTATTTCAATGACTTAGTTGAATCATGTACCAGCATCGAAATTTTCACCCCTCCTTTCATCTTCTAGATTTTCTATTATCACATTACTCTTGAGAACTTAACATATTTTTGACGATTTACTAATTTTTGTGATACTAGCTTACGCCTGTTGCCTCTCGTGGAGGAGCATAGACAATCCACCAGCAATCTCCATCCAACGCTCTCCTGGGTAATCCCTTCCGCTTACTATTCATCCTTTTCATATCTGCTCCCAATTCTCGGTGCAGTGTGTTCTTTGGTCTTCCTCTTTTCCGTTTCCCTTCAGGATTCTAAGTTAGCGCTTACCTGGTGATTTTTCTCAATGTGTCCCATCCACTTCCAGCGTCTTTTTTGTGATAGGATTGTAATAAGTTTTAGTTTATTTTTGTTAGTAACTAGTGTTTTTCTGTTAAAGTATTGCCTGGCGTTGATTTTTGATTTCAATACATGTAAATTTATTCTTGTTCATCAGTGTGTAGCACGCTTCTTCTCTATAGCTGTACTTTAAATGGGATAATTGGCACTTAGACGCCTCACTATTGGATTTTGCCGAATTTATAGTTTTAACGTTGATTTCTGATCATAGTATGGGACTTTCAGATAACTTTCGCCTTCTGGTTTTGTAAGCTTTACGTGTGATTTCTTAGATGAATTCGAATCCTAGAACAAATTCTATCACTGCAGTATCACAAACTCAGAAGTATCCAGTCATATAATAAAGCCTTTGGTTACTTATGCTGATGTTAATATATACAGGAAAGAATTTTCAAAAACTGCAGAACATACACTTTCCACACTTGTTCACTACGATAAAGTCCCGAACAAGGGAAGTAGACATTTGATTTAAGAAGTTTTCACAGAATTTATCGGGAAATGAGTGGTCTTAACAAGTTTTAAAAGTAATTTATGCGGCAATAAGAATTATATTATCATATTCTTTAGTATTCGCTAAACCTGTACAAAAATTTCATCACTTATTTACGCCTGTTTTATCCTCGTGGAGGAGCATAGGCTGCCCACCAGGATTCTCCATCGAACGAAAATTATATTAAGATTATTCTAAATATTACGACAAATAAGAAGTTGATTTTTTTATCCAATAAGTGTTGATGACCTTTACTGAACTCTATGGTACGTCCTAAGCTATTAAGATTTAAATACGACGGAAATGAATGAACTTAATCTAAGAATACCCTATTTCCAATGAATAGTTCAGCAAGACGACTATTCTATCCTGTTACGAAAATTCGACTTTAAATACGGTTGACGTTTACCTCAAATTTTTACAGTGACTTTCATAGGTAAGTTTATAATTTGTGCTAACTTAAAAGAATATGTCCAAATGGCTACTATTTTGCAAGTATCCATATCTTCAATTAGTCACTTTATCATCAATGAACGATAAAAGGCGATCAAATTGGAGCTACTAAGTTTAAAGCAATAAAAATTTCAAAATGAAAGAAGCTGACACAATTTCAAATTAATCGGATGAACAAATTTAACAGTGCTATCACAGAGAGCTAAGTTACAAATGATAATCGGGAAATCAATATGCTGAAGTGTACCAGTTGTTGTAAAAACAAATCTTATCTCTGAAGAAAAAGATTCGAACAGCATGGTGTAATGTCAAATATATGTGGCTAAAATTTTATGATTTTTTTAATAAGTACAATCTGAACGAAGAAATATTTCTTTCCAATTAGCTAATATAGTTTTATATTTGAATGTGAAATCAATATTAATTAAGGTTTGTGAGTAAACTAATATAATAATAATAGTAACAATAAAAACAGAACAGGATGCAAACAGTTTGGTTACTGGAACTAATTACATAAGTATGAAAATAAAAAGAAGTTTCAAGTGTCAGCTTAGGTTCGGAATCAGTAAATTACCCGTACTGATTATATAAGAATAAAAACTAAATGCCCCACATACACAAGGAGTTGCATTGATGCTGTCCAAACAAGCACAAAATGCATTTATAGAATGGGAATCTCATGGACCAAGGATCATCAAAGCCTCCTTCAAAACAAAGAAAGAGGGCATTTCAACGAACGTCATCCAATTCTATCCGCCTACCAACGACCACAATGAAGGCGCTAAAGATCAATTCTACAATAGGCTGCAGTCAATCATCGAGAAGTGCCCAACAAAGGATCTGACCACTCTGATGGGAGACCTCAATGCCAAGGTTGGAATGGACAACAGCGGATATGAAGACATCATCGGATGACACGGACTGGGAGAAAAGAACGAAAATGGTGAGATATTTGCAAACCTATGTGCCTTCAATAAGCTGGTCATAGGCGGCACTATGTTCTCACACAAACGCATACACAAAACCACATGGACTTCACCGGATCACACTACACAAAACCAAATCGACAATATCTGCATCAACAAAACGTTTAGGAGGACGATGGAGGATGTGAGAAACAAGAGAGGAGCTGATATAGAGTCAGATCATCACTTGCTGGTCGTCATGAAGAAATTGAAACTCAATAAGTACTGAACAACGGGGCGGACAATATCACAGAAGTTCAACACGGCCTTTCTTCAGGATACTGACAAACTCAACAAATTCAAGATAGTCCTCAGCAACAAGTTTCGGGCCTTTCATGACCTACTCAATGGAGAAGGAACTACTATGGATAGCAACTGGGAGGGGATCAAAGAGGCAATCACTTCAACATGTCATGAGGTCCTGGGCCACAAGAAGCACCATCACAAGGAATGGATCACTGTTGATACACTAGATAAGATTCAAGAAAGGATGAACAAGGAAGCAGCAATCAATGCCAGTCGAACAAGAGCAGAAAAAGCCAAGTCACAAGCTGAATACACAGAAGTAAACAAACAAGTGAAGAGGGGCATCAGAACCGACAAACGTAAATATGTGGAAGATTTAGCAACGACGGCGGAAAAGTCTGCAAGAGAAGGAAACATGAGACAACTGTATGACATAACAAAGAAACTCTCTGGAAATCGCCGCAAACCAGAACGACCAGTGAAAATTAAGGTGAGTTAATCACCAACATTGAAGAGCAACGAAACAGGTGGGTAGAACACTTCAATGAACTCTTGAATCGACCAGCTCCACTGAACCCACCCAACATCGAAGCAGCACCCACAGACCCCCAATCGATGTTGGCATACCAAGGATTGAAGAGATAAGCATGGCTATCAGGCAAATCAAGAGTGGCAAGGCAGCAGGACCAGAAAACATTCCAGCAGAAGCACTGAAAGCAGACGTAGCGGTAACTGCAAGGATACTCCACATTCTCTTCAATAAAATTTGGGATGAGGAACAAGTACCAACAGACTGGAAAGAAGGACACCTGATCAAAATACCGAAGAAAGGCGATCTCACCAAATGTGATAACTACAGGGGCATCACTCTTCTCTCAATACCGGGAAAACTCTCCAACAGGATATTGTTAAACAGGATGAAGGACTCCCTAGACGCCCAACTTCGTGACCAACAGGCAGGATTCCGTAAGGATAGATCGTGTACAGACCGAATCGCAACTCTACGGATCATTGTGGAACAGTCAATTGGATGGATCTCATCACTCTACATCAACTTCGTTGACTCCGAGAAGGCATTTGACAGCATGGACAGAACAACACTATGGAAGCTTCTTCGACACTGTGGTGTGCCTCAGAAGATAGTCAATATCATACGGAATTCCTATGATGGGTTAAAACGCAAAATTGTGCATGGAAGTTAGCTGACAGACTCGTTCGAAGTAAAGACTGGTGTCAGGCAAGGTTGCTTACACTCACCATTTCTATTTCAGCATCTGTGGAGAAGCGTGTGATACAATGGACAGGTAGGGTGCAGTTGGACGATCTAGACTTCGCAGATGATCTGGCTATTCGATCGCACACGCAACAACAAATGCAGGAGATCACGACCAGTGTAGCAGCAGCCTCAGCAGCACTAGGTCTCAACATACACAAAGGGAAAAGCAAGATTCTCCGATACAACACAGCATGAAACAATCCAATCACACTTGACAGAAATGCTATGGAGGATGTAAAAACCTTTACATATGTGGGCAGCACCATTGATGGACACGGTGGATCTCATGAAGATGTGAAAGCGTGGATCGGAAAAGCAAGAGCAGCATATTTACAACTGAACAACATCTGGAACTCAAAACAACTGTCAACCAACACCAAGGTCAGAAATTTCAATACAAATGTCAAGACACTTCTACTGTCTACTGTGGCGGAAATCTGGAGAACTACGAAAACTCTCATCCATAAAATACAAGTGTTTAATAACAGCTGTCTACGCAAAATATTTCGGATCCGTTGGCCAGACACTATTAGCAACAACGTATTGTGGGAGAGAACAAACTAGATCCCAGTGGAGGAAGAAATCAGGGAGAAGCGCTGAAAGTGGATAGGACACACATTGAGGAAAGCACCGAACTGCGTCACAAGACAAGCCCTCACATGGAATCCTCAAGGCCGATGAGAAAGAGGGAGACCAAAGAACACATTACGGCGAGGAATGGAGACAGACATAGGGAAAATGGACAAAAATTAGATAGAAGTCGAAAGGAAGGCTGAGGACAGAGTGGGTTGGAGAATGCTGGTCGTCGGCCTATGCTCCATTGGGATTAACAGGCATAAGTAAGTAAGTAAGTTTCTGAAATTAATTACAATCAAAATAACTATGAAGGAAACAAATAAGTGTAACAGAGAGTTTGGATTAATAGTTTTTCAATTATTGAAAACAATCACACAGCAATAAAAATAAAAGGATAACCTTGAAGCTGGTTAGATGTTATGAGAAGAAGGACATCACAAAATTATAGTGTGCAACGATTATGCTCATTCAGGTGAATTCCTATGTCCTCCACTGTATGTGGGTGCTAATATTCGGAAAATTACAGTATTCTTTCCCCTTATTTTTATTAAAAAACAGAGAGCAGTGTAACTACGATCGATAGTCACCGGAAAACATATTAGTTGTTATTACATTTGTAGTAAAGAATATAAGAAGTGTACATTTCTTAAAGAAAGGAATCGCATTTTTAAAAATTATACTGCTTTTTACTAAGTCAAAACCTTATGACAAAACTATCATGCCACTAAAAGACTTAACAAATCTATAAAAAATACTTACGGAAAATAAAATTATTTTACCTTAGTTTACCATCTCGATCCGCGCATCCATTGGGAGCTATTCTCGTGACATAAATCCCATTATCCAAGTCGGTAATAGGATTATCAATTCCTCCGGCAATACTAAAACCAAATCCACCTACTGCGGCTGAATCACGTTTAAGTATAATATCCAGATATTCCCATTCCCCTTTCATTGAAACACGATCTACGAATACATAATAAAAGTAAGAGATCCATTCTCACCACATAAAAAGTACAGTTTCCACGAGGATACACAGACTAGACACTTTGGAATTATGTACACAGTGGTAACCATTTGGCAAGTGAAACATTAATATGTTCCACGGTACAGCGGGAATCATTGTAATATGGTCAATAAACTGTGCTAAGTCACTACGGCGATTCACACTTTTGAGCGATGGATAGGCCACTATGTACGTTGACACCAAAAATAATCAAAAGTATACACCATTTGGCCTAAATACTAGGTTTAAACGCTTAGTTACGTTTATTCTTTAGCTCTATTTACCAACTATTTAAATAGGTCAATGTAATTATACGTCAAGAGAATATTACAACATTTAACAGATGACATGGTAAGTGGTAAGTTTTTACTGAAAAACGAAATCCGATCATTGTTTATTTATGTGAATATGTTTAGACGTAAGCGCTGATTCAATCAGAATTTTGAGGGGCTCAGTTGTATTTCCACATTTGTTTTGTTCAAGAATCCTCTTCAAAGTCTACTAGAAGTCAGTTTTACGAAACTTTCGAAAACTGTTTCAAGTCGATGATGTTTCGAAATCTTATTATCCATCACATCTTAAGCAAGTAATGAAATACGAATGGTTTATTTTCTGATTTCGATATGGTTTGAATAAAATTTAGTTGAAAGTTAATTATAACTTTTCCTTACAAATATTTACGTGGCTTATTGGTCGTTAGGATGAAATGGTAAAAAAAGACAAATACAATACTGTGTAGTATATGATAACCAAAAAGATCATCAAGAAACCTTTTTACATAGTTTTATTCTTATTGATATACAATAGCAAAGTATTTTCATAATTAAGTGGAAGTGAATCTATCTCTAAAACTTTAATCAGAAACAAAACGGTTGAAGTGTTTGAGCAAAGTTTAAGGACATAAATGGATATGTTAAAAAGTATGGGTTTATTCAGGTCTAAAAATCTACTGCACTCTGGTAGTTATCAGTGTACCTAGAACTTTGATTCCTGACTTCATTGAAGATTATCTCCAACAATATAATACTGAATTCAATGTACATCTATTACATGCTATTTATATGATGATAAAATGTATATATTTTTAGTAAAAAAAATTAATTAATATTATGAACTGAAGCTTGAAATTAATTCGTAACAAGTAAAAGAGATTTTCAAGGATTAACATGAACAACTTGTGTGCAATGATATTGGTTTCGATATTTCAATATTAAGTGAGATCAGTAGACTTTGATAACTTAAATCTTACTTTGAATTGAGAAGCAATATAAAGGTAAGTTTCAAATAAAGATAGAACACGAAGGTTTTTGAGATGTGGATTGATTTCACTTTACAAGAAAAATCCTTTTAGTTTTCATTCAACTGATGAAAGAAATATGGTTGCGGTAGATTAGAAAAATTTTATTATTTTAATTGCTGAACTACTGTTCATTAACTATGATTTATAAATAATAAATATTTTGACGTCATCTTGACACATGTACTGATTACATTTTGAATCAAAGGCCATGCCTTGTAAAAGTCTCTATGTTTAGTATTTCCACAATTTACCAATAGCATTAGTGTCCGAGATTATAGTTATGCGACGATATAAATTTTGAAGCATTATTATGTTTCACAAATAAACGAAGACCGTAAAAACATGGTCAAATACGACAATTATTTTGTTCAATACGGTGGAATTCACAGTTGATACTCTAAATGGATTTTTCGTGAACTCAGTTTAGTTACTAATTATAAAGGATCCTTAGTTTTTTATAAACTATTTTCCAGTGATTTAATCGGTTAGTAAATAACATTCATTTCACACTTCTATTATTTGGAATACACTGCAAACGAGACGTTATTTGGTCTCTAAGAAATTTGGGGGCTCCATACCTGGACACTTGGGGGCCTAAAATACTATAAATGCCCCCAAAAGGCCCTGATACGGTCGAGAGTGGGGAGAGTCCGCTCTCCCTCTCGAAATTCTCTCAAACAGCCACGCGTATACAGCCTCTGTCAGAGAAGTCCTACTCACTGCCTTCTCGTGGCATTACTGTTGTTTACGAAAATGAGAGGACGAAAAGCGAATATCCGGCGCTCTAACCAGATCCCAAACCAATGGTGCACATGGACTCCAGTATCCTGAGGGAACAAATGAAGCATGAACCAATTGTTGGTCACCCGCTACCATGGGACTGCGTCTCCTCACGATGCTCCACTGCCTTGTGGGTCAGACATTAAGGTCAAAGGCTCGGGGTGTGGCCTAATAATAAAACCACCTGCTTCGGTCTGAGCACCCGGGCAGTATCACAGCCCATACACAAATAAAATGAAAATGACGATATTTACTGAAAATTCTATTCGCGCTTCGATTAACAGTCAAACAATTCACATTATTAATACTATTTACCAAGTCACTTATTCACTCTCTTTTATTCCTACTTTGTGTATCCTTATTTTTCGACTTAGACAGCAGTACGCTCATGGTGGAAACTCGGTTTTATTTAGACGTTCTCGAGTCACTGCCTGGTTGAAAATTGTATGCTACCACCAAATACGAATACTGAAACAGATTTTCTGAAACCACGTGCACCATTCAAACTGGCTGCCTTCAACGTTCGCACACTTATGCAGGTCGGACAACAGATAGGGCTGGCTATGTCTTTGGAAAGTCTTAATATCGACGTTTGTTGTCTATCCGAGACCCGTATTCAGGACTCTGGTGAAGTACTACAAATTCGCTCTCCATCTGTTGCTTCAAAAAGCTTGTTTTATGTGCGTTTATCCGGGGACCATGTGGCATCTTCGTCTGGTCTTGCTGGCGTTGGTGTAACACTAAGCGCTAGAGCCGAGGCAGCACTAATCGATTGGATCCCCATTAACAGTCGGTTATGTGCTGTTAGGTTAGAAAGTTCCATCAAAGTGAGAAGAGATCGGCGTGAGAAACGATGTCTTTTCGTCATCTCCGCCTATGCATCGACAGATTGCAGCCCAGCTGCAATCAAGTATGAATTCTACCACCAGTTAACTGTTCTTCTCCAGAAAGTGCGTTCGACAGATATTGTAGTACTAGCCGGAGACTTGAATGCTCATGTCGGGCGTTTAGGCACAGAAGAGAATCGTTTAGTTGGCCGATGGGGACTTGTTGGTCGCAGGACAGATAATAGGGGCCGTCTACAGCAACTGTGCACAGACCACAACCTGTTTCTGGTTAGCACTAACTTTCGGCACAGTCATCGCCGATGTGACGGGATGCCAATCACTTACATCCATCGACGTCTTGGACGATGGGCAGAATTTTTCGAAGGGCAGTTCAACTGGCCTGCTGCTCCGGCAACATCGGTCAGACTGTCCTGCCCTCCATGGCCGGTGACGACTGATCCACCAAATGAGGAGGAAGTCCGCAAGGAACTCCAACTCTTGAAGCGTTACAAATCACCTGGCCCAGATGACTTACCTCCGGCTCTTTTTAAAGATGGTGGTGACTTTTTGACTAAGGAATTGACGACGTTGTTTACAAAGGTTTGGGAACTAGAGAGTGTACCAACGTCATGGAATGAGTCGATAGTTGTCCCTATCTTTAAAAAGGGTTCACGTCGTTCCTGTAACAACTATCGGGGGATAAGTCTACTTCCGATTGCGTCCAAGCTATTGGCTTCCGTCATACTTCGTAGGTTGTTCAAAACCCGAGAAAGATTGACTCGCGAGGAGCAGGCTGGGTTTCGTTCTGGTCGAGGATGTATTGATCATATCTTCACCCTCCGCCAAATGTTAGAACACCGCCATACTTATCAAAGGCCAACAATCGTAGTGTTTCTTGACATCAGGGCTGCCTTCGATTCGTTGGACAGGACTGTTCTCTGGGATTGTCTATTGAAGAAGGGTGTGCCTGAGAAGTTTATTAACATCCTAAAAGCCCTATATAAAACACCTCAGGCAGAGTGAGGGCATACAACCACCTCTCTCCATTGTTCCATTCGAGCAGTGGGGTTAGGCAGGGTTGCCCAATCTCACCATTCCTCTTCAACTTTGCCATCGATGACATTCTGGAAACAGCTCTGATGAATGTAAGTAATGGTGGTGTGGATCTGTTGCCTGGAGAAAGACTTCTCGACCTTGAGTATGCGGACGATATTGTCTTACTGTGCGATAATGCCCAAGGCATGCAATCCGCACTTAATCAGTTGGCAATCAGTGTCCGTAGGTATGGTATGTGCTTTGCACCTTCGAAGTGCAAAGTACTTCTACAAGACTGGCAGGATTCTAATCCTGTACTCACCCTGGATGGTGAGCAGATAGAGTAGTCGAGAAGTTCGTGTATCTGGGTAGCTGCATAAGTGCTGGTGGGGGTGTGAGTGATGAGATCAATGCACGTATAGTGAAAGCCAGAGCGGCTTATGCCAATCTGGGCCACCTTTGGCGCCTTCGTGATGTTAGTCTGGCTGTAAAAGGTCGGATCTACAACGCGTCGGTGAGAGCAGTTTTGCTCTATGCTTGTGAAACCTGGCCTCTCCGAGTTGAGGACGTTAGACGACTCTCTGTGTTCGATCATCGCTGTCTCCGAAGGATTGCTGACATTCAGTGGCAACACCATGTCAGTAATGCAGAGGTTCGGCATCGTGTGTTCGGGCACAGAGATGATAATTCAATTGGTGTCACCATCTTGAAACACCGACTTCGGTGGCTTGGACATGTTCTACGAATGTCGTCCCAGAGAATTCCACGTCGTGCATTATTTGCCGACTCTGGGACTGGTTGGAAGAAGCGGAGAGGTGGTCAGTGCATGACATGGTGTCGTGGTATGAAAGAAAGCTGCAAAGGACTGGCTTCTGTTGGTCCTTCACGACTCCCTGGTTGGGGTCCTAGAGATGGTGCTACACAGTGGCTAGAGACGTTATCAGATATGGCTCAGAATAGAAGCCAGTGGCGATCCTGCTGTAATTTTCTTTTACTTTCTTCATAAAAAGTGGATGTAAAGTCCTTAACTGAAAGATTTCTACATGTTGTACTTTTCCGCTTCCCTCATTATTACTATTATTATTATTACACTGCCTTACACTAATCAGTTCGTTATTGTTCTTTTTTATGCTCCTTACGTTTTTTTTCTTCGAATTCTAATTGTTTTGTGTGGCGCATGTATATTTGGTGCCCTCTTGTACCAATATTTATGTGTTCAAATAATAATAATAAAATACTAAGAAATTGAAATTTTCTACGTCCAAATGTATAAGAATGAATTAAGCCTAATTTTCGAAGTTAAGCTGTAGAAATGGTAACTCACTCTGATATATTACCAAATACATGAGTGTCGTTAATAACATCGAATATTTCTTGATACAGCTCTTGTAAAAGTAATTAATCCTAATCCTAAACTTTGTCGAGAAATCCAATGTTTCATATCACATTTGAATGTTATAAGTATCAAGAATGTCTTAGGTCATATGATCGATACTATGCGATATTATTACCAGTTATCTTTAAAATAACAAACAACGTGGGACAGACAAACAAGTATTGATTTTTATTGTGCAGTACTATAGAACAAATATCTGTTTAGTTCAGTAACAATCCGTAAGGATTTTACCGATCAGACGGTAGATTCAGTAGTAAATGCTTTTAGGTAGCAGGGTTTATCAGCCACTTGATATAAATCTCATATTGTCTCATCAAACACGTGATGAATAGTTTTATTGATTGAAACTTTTAACTGCAGAACTAAGCAAAACTAATAAATTTTAATTCGCTGTTTAATTAATGTGAATATATAGATATTTATGCACTTAAACTTGAACTTTAAAGACGAAAAGAATTTTATATAAAGGACAGCAGTGAAACCACCTAAATTATTTCTACGTTGTTTAATCAGCAATAGGACACAACAAACTCAGAAGTAAAAGAATACTGGAAGCTTTTTTGTCAGTCAGTCATCTACAACGTAGGACCAGGCACAGTCCACGTTGCTATACCTGACTAGCGTAACAAGGTGAAGACCAAATTTATAGAAGCAGTTACTTCAATGGTAGTCATACGTAAAAACGACCGCACATAAGGATGAAAACTTTTTAAAGAAAAAGTTACTTTTCAACATGTCTGTGAAACAGATATATGAAAAGCATCAGTTACTGAATAGAAGAGTTTTGGTTTTGAAGGGAGGTCAACTTCACAAACTTAATCAAGCGTTTATGTCCAGTAGTGAGCAATATACAATAGGATCGTAGCTAATGTTCAGTTAGTATAACTTGTCTCTTGCCTTCTAACTGTTATGCAGTGATATCATCCTTTGATTTTGTAATCATAATCCCCAATTTATTTTCTAAGCACTTTCGTAAACGTGAAAATCTAAGAGAACATTCCACTTTTTTCATTAGAAAATTAGTAGATATGACCTGAACATCTAGAAACCTCGAAAGTTTGGCATATATGACGCTTACAAAAGATTCATACGCTAAAAGGGTTCTCATAAGTGCAGTTTACCATACCAGTTACTACGAATTTAAATTATTTATTTGTGAGACAGATTGTATTAGTTTTTGAAAAATGTTTTTAATCTGTCTCTAACTTCACTAACCTACCAGGGCTCAGAGGCTTTGGCAGTGACTGATTACCAGAAGAAATATTTGATCCACTGTGATAAACATTCTGGAAAACAAGATATAAAGTTAAGAACATCATTAGTAGTAATAATTAAGTAACAGGTAGACACAAACACTGTCAATTACTGATTTTTTTAGAATAGAATCATCTTGATAGTTCATTATTAATCGAAAAATAACAGTTCTTATATACATTGATTTGAAATTCATGCTTTAAAGTACTTAAATTAAATGAAGGTCAGGCTTTAATAAAATAGGCAGACTTCTTTTCACTAAAGATGAGTATTTTAGAAAAGATCGTATGTCACCAAGGTTTTTATATGTGGTCTATAGATTTCCTACAACTCGCTTAATATTCTGACGATTGCTATTGAGGATTCTAAATCACTTATTTTTTATAAATGTGAGCCAAAAGCTAGGAAAAACACTTTTCCTTGCCATTTTTATGTTTAACTTTCTCCACATCCAGGCTTTTGTTAATGAGAACGAATACGGTAATATTAACAAACCATCCTGTGTTAAAAATCGAAACTTGAGGAAATCTGTCTATCCTTTACAGGCGTGTTTACTTATTCATGTTAAGGCATACAGTGAGCTCATGTTTCAATTATTAATTGTAAAATCATAATTTTACCAAAGAATAAATAATATCAAAGCTAAAATATGCACAGATTAAAATCATGAGTCAGTTAGAGCTAGACCACCATGGAAAACCTGGAAGCACTGGATGGCCGTTTCGTCCTAGTATGGGACTCCTCAGCATTGCGCATCCACGATAGCGCACCCCGCGGGATCTTCAGCCCACTGAAGACAATGGTATACGGTGGTGCAACTCCGTGGATCAGTTGAAGTTAGACATTAACACCATTGGATGCCGGCTCAGTGATCTGATGGTTAAGTGCTCGCGCGCGAAACCAGTAGGTCGTGGGTTCGAATCCCGCGGGGTGCGGGATCGTGGATGCGCACTGTTGAGGAGTCCCGTACTAGGACGAAACGTCCGTCCAGTGCTTCCGGGTTTTCCATGGTGGTCTAGCTTCAACTGACTCATGATTTCAATCTGTGAAATTTCTAAAATCTCCACAAACCCCCTCTGCTTAAATATGTCTTAGTAGATGACTATTAAAACTTTCGCCACATTTTTTTATGTACTGACTAAGGTTAAGATTAAAAAGGAACGATTTAGATAAAGCTTTTATAATGGACAACAAATCAAATCACTTAAAATACATTTTTATTTAGCCAAAAAAAATTCAAAAAGTCAACTTTTTTGGACAAAAATAACAATAAAGTGCTTTAAACTTGGGAACTTAAGAAAGATGAAATTAAAGTTAACGCTTGGAGTCGAAATGGTTTATTATAGCAAGAGAAACACTTATATTTTCGTCACTGACGTGCAGGCTTTAAGTTAAGTCTAAATTTTCTATAGAGGTGGATATATGAAACTTTAGGAGGATTTCAAAGATCTTATAATTATCCCCAAATTAAAAAATATATTCATGGTGCATCGTTTGAATCAATCTATTATCTAAGCTAAAATACATCTAGACTTGAGGAAATGTGCTTTCACAAATCAGGTATTTCTTAGATTGCAGGAAATTCAACGTATTGAGATGATTTCAAGCTATCTGCTGAAAACAACTGTTGAGTTTTTAAGGACTCGTTTCTAAACCACTGTTATTTCCAATATGTTCAAACGAATACCCTAGTCATATAACATACTTAGTTCTACAACATATGAACATAATGTTAAGGTATGAAGGATGGCATTCATTTACAAACTTTTAACTGAATACTCTGTCACTTAGCTGATGTTATTTGAAAATTGCGGTAAGAGACCAACAGAAGTGTGACGGTTATTTCTATTCTTAGTTCGCGAATCTTTGTACACAAACAAATAACTTCAACACGCTTTTTATGATGAGTAAGGTTATCAACATACTATATGTAAGTGCATTTACAGAGACGTAAACCAGACTTGCTTACAGATAAGGTGCTACAAAGATGCACCCAACGTTTGCTTTATAAAATGGTGTAAACTACCTAGAATTTGTTCATGAATTGCAGAGCCTGTTTCAAACTCCCCTCAACAAATAAGGTTAATTTGCATTTCATATTACACGAACTTATTGGATTTTACCTAACTCAAGTCTCTAAACCACAAATAAAGATTGTAAGTTTTCTTGTACTCTCACTTTTACGCCATTTAGTTACAGAACGGTCCAGTGGATACAAAGTAGACAGGCCTAAAGTAAATCACCTGAAAGACGAAAACTAGTTTTGGAATTAACAATAAGGAGAATGATCGTTTGCCATCCTGATGCCAGGAAGTAGGAACATGGTGTAAAGAATACTATACTTTGTCAAGTATTGATAGTTGCGAGTTAAAATAAAACTGTTCACAGTTATAAGCGTTTAATTAATCGAAATAAGGACGTTTTTCACCTAAAACGCAGTGGCTCTATACCCGGGTATAGAGCAAACAAAGATTATGAAAGCCACCTTTACTGAATGCATTCTACCTGAAACCCCAGATCATACTTTGTCTTTTGCATTTTGATAAGATAGAAGCTTATATATATATATATATATATATATATATATATATGACACGAAATATTTGACAAGGCCTTGTTGGCCGGCCAACTACTCAACATACAGGCCCAAACTAAAAATAGCACCATTATAAAAATGTGAAGATCGGGTAATTACGTTCTTTAAATCGAACGTTAACCTAAAGTTTCTTCCCTATAACTATACGGTACATAAAAAGGGTTACAAATACTCACAACTGAATCTGATGCTTGTTCACTAGTAAACTCTTCATTGTTTCCTGTTAAAGTAACTTCATAAACCTCCAGAACATCTAGCAAAAGCATTCAGAATAAGGAAACTTTACCCATTAGTGATGAAAATAATTGACTTTCCAATGTGTTTATTAATTTATCAACGGCGTTTCGAAAGGACTTGTCGGTTTTTTCATCTAACTGACGTTTGTACTTCGTTAAGATATGAAGAGCACGACTACAATCTGAGGCATAAATGAGAAACAAACTAATCCTAATAACATTACCTTTCCGGACTGGCATTTTAACCTTCCTCGGTATATACTCCAAACAACTAATCAGATAAATGATGCATACTAACAACTCATTTTTCAACAGCGAAGATGAGAAAACTTCATACATTGGTTTATATTCTTGTTTATGATTGAGTATATTTATACTAACACCTGTATTCGTCTAAGTAGGTGGCTGATATTCTTTTGTGAACTCGAAGTGGTTTCAAATGTTTCTGAACAGAATAGAAGAATCTTTCGCTTAAAGGGCCATCGTATCTAGTACTAGTGGATCTCTGATGCTTCCATGTGAGAACCCAGATATATTATACGATGAAAGAGACCGAAGTTAGTAGATTATAACGTGATACTGTCCTTAGTCTTTTTGAATATGTCACGTTGTCTGTCAAATGACTCCTGGGTAGTCACCTGTACTACATCAGCCTTTGGCGAAATCCAGAATTCAACTACTCGTAAAAAGCAGAAGGTATGCCTACAGTCAGTTTTGCTTTGTTGTGTCTCCACTTTCAAGGTGTTACCCCTAAGGCTTATGTTGAGGCTAAGCTTAAGTAGGTGCCGCGGCGATAAATAAATGCTCGAAAATAGTAATTCTGTAAGTCTCCGACATTTGATGCTGATAGTATTAGTTTATGTGGACTCATCTAGCTGAAGGTGCTCGGTCACGCATCCGCACTAGGTTACGAGTGGGGACACTGTGCTATGCATCTCCAACAACCGCTGGTAAGGTTAGAATAATCACTTTTCGAAATGTCGATGGTCTATCACATATACCTTTGAATATTTTCGCTTCTGACTTCTGATTTCACTGACTTGGTACATTACGATTATAGGTGTTACTGGTTAAGACGTCAAACTCCGAGTACTTGTGGCAGGTTTAGTGCTTAAGGAGATGCCTAGATGTGTTTGGGATTCTTTAAGTCATTCGAAGGTCAACTCTAAGACGTCTGTACTTCGATAGGTAAGGGTTCGGTGATTGGAGTCGCTCTTCATAAGGCTTGTATTTGAGTCCTCAAACTGATTTCATGGCTCTCTTTT